TATATATTATATAATATTTATATATATTATATAATATATATAATATATAATTAAATAATATAATTAATAATATATATATTAATATAATTAATATATAATTATATTATATATTAAATATATTATATATTATATTATATATTAAATAGAAGGGGTCCAGTGGTTCATGGTAAATGGCCAAGAAGCATAGGGTCACGTACTATATAGCAACAGCTTCGGCTCTCTTTAGTTTTCCTAAAGACCATTCAAAGTGTCAGTCTGACTTCAGAGAATGAAAAATATCATCAAATAGACTGGCTCTCAGGTTACTTTTTCTCTGAATATTTCTTGTTCTTATTTTTTTGGTTCTCTCCCCCCCCCCCTTTTTTAAATGTGTACATCCTAATTGTCAAACAGTATGTGAATTTTTTTATAATAAAATTAGTTCTCAGTTACTTTTACATAGTCTATATAACAATACAAATTTAAATACTAAAATCAGCCTGAATGCTTTCATGTTAGAGAGGTTCTTTTATTTTGGGAATGCCCTAAAATTTTTAAAATGAAAATAAACTAAACCAGAAAACACCTACTTAAATTATTAGCTAAAATTCATTTAATCATGAAAAACAAATCACATTGTTTTTGTAACTAGTTAGAAAATCGTTCACTTGACATGCTATGTAACTATGAAATTTCCAGTCAGGCTCAAATCAAAGCTGAGAAATATGAGTTAATAACAGATCATGAATTTAGTCTATAATTTTTCTTCATCGATATAGAGATTAATTCATATAATGAGTGTCAAAGGAACATGGCTTATTAGACTGCCCATCAGACATGATTCATTCATTGTAAAACATTTATATAATAATCATTAACCCGGAGGCAACTGCAAATAGCAAAAAGATCAGAACATGGGCAGGGTAGTCTAGCTGAAATTAAAACATATTTGGCTAGCACATTTCAAGTTTACAAAGAGATTTCAAACCCATTTTCTATGTGATTCTCAGAAAATCTCTGAGAAAAGGGCACTATTATTCCTATTATTTTGGGAGAAAACTGTGACTCTAAAAGTCTTCATTGATCACTGAAAGAATTAACAGTGAAACTCAGAGGACATGTTTGAATTATAGAAACAAATACAAATTCCTGGGCATTAAATTAATATTTTTGTCCAAAGTTTGAAGAACTCGCTGATTTTCATTGATGAATCTTAAATTGTGCTTCTTCGGCAGTGTATTTTGTTTATTTTTAAAGAAAAACAGAGAACTTACAAGTAAACCACGTTTTCCAGTTCGACCAGGTGGTCCTATAGGACCCCGAGAACCCTAGAAGAAATTTTCACAAAAATTGGTATGTAAAAAAATATGCGTATACTATATAGATATAGGATTCACAAATATGTAAATTGTATATCTATGTGTATACTCTTATGGCTAATTGATTAAAATCAAGCTAATGTCCTTAGGTATACAATGACACTTACTTAGTCCATTTATTAATTGACTTCACTGAATGAAGATCACCTTAGTCGACTATGGTAGGACATTATTTGCTTAAATTTAACACAATGCATACTTACTACATTTCCTATACATCACAACATTTTTAGATGTTGAAACTCAAAACATCAGGATTTTTGAATATCTATTAGAAACCAAATGTTTTCCATTAAGATTTAAAAAATTAAATCATAATTGGCTGTCATTCTTTGTATAGAGTGCTTAATCAAGTGCACGTGTATGATTGTATGCAGGCGTACCTGTCGCTCACAATATGGCCTCCTGATATTTATAACTGTCAGTATGAAATTGACTCTCCTTACCGGATCTCCTCTTTGTCCTGCATCTCCTGGAGCACCGACAGGACCAGGAGTTCCAGGGGCACCCTGAGAGCCTGGCAGACCTGCAGGCCCAGGGTCTCCACGATCACCCTGATGAGAAGATCCATGGCATTATTCTTTCGATATTTATTCTAAAATAATGGCATTCTATATGCTCATGCTATTCATGAAAATAAAGCATATACCTCTTTTAAAACTCATTTTTATTATTCAACTTATACTTTACTTAAATATTTTACTTACATTGACTTGTTAACCCCAATTTCAGATGTCCTCCCCCCCCCTCACTCTCACCCTACTCCTCCTATAGTCAGGATTGCTGGAGCATAGCAGCGTCAGCTCTCGAATTTACGTGTTTCTTACACCAGCAGTCTTCAAGTGTATCCATTAACTTGGGGTAAACAGAGACTTTCCAGGGTGTGAAAGCTGAGAAAATTTTAAGGAAGCCACTTTCTAGATTTTCATCTCCATAAGTGATATCTCAGAAAACTGATCTGAAGCATCCTTCCCTACTTCCTCTTTAATAATCACTCCTCTCCCATTTTATGAAAGAAAAAAAAGACATTAATATCTGTCTGCAATCTTTTTATGATGCAATGCCCCCAAGGAGTAAACACCTCAGGGCACAAAACTAAAGACTTTTCCAGAATTCATAGTTCTCTTGAGAATAAAGCAGAGATATTTGGAAAGAAAGAGGATGTTGCTTATTTTATCCAGGTGACCCAACTATGACAAGGCTCCAAATCTTATTGTCTCCTTAAGAAAGTCAGAGATGAGATTATTATTATATAAACAATGTTATATCATAATTATTTGACTTGAAAAATGGAGTCAGACCTATTTTGCTGACAGAAATTAAGTCTTATTGGACTGATTAGTCTGGCAACCAGGATAAACCTTGGCCATTAGGTTAGAGAATGGACATATAATACATTGAATAAGCTAAATCGGCAAATACAAGATTTTGAAAAAAAATATACTGAAAGCACATAAACATTTAGAATTTACCAGGAATTACTCCTTTTGCAACTATTTAAATTTAGAATTAAAATAAAATGTGATGACAACTTAAATTGTGCATAGGGTTTCACAGACTATCGAAATTAAACCAGGGAATGCATCAGAAAAATCTTTGAAGATTATTGCACTGCATAATGTATACTGACCAAGGGGAAAACCCAGGTGCCAAGAGAATTTGCATTCTCTGGCTTTATGGTAGATGAGGGGAGGGGCTTACTCCAAGAGTCCTCAAAGCTCCATACTCTAAACATGTTATTTAAAGCACAAATGTCCAGTGGAATAGGTATTGATCATATTTAAAGCATTTGAAAACTGACGTTCCAAAGATTTGTTCAAGACCTCATTGCCAGTAACTTAAGGAATTAAGATTCTACTTGAGGTCTGACTGCAGAGCCCATTCTGCTACATGATGAGCTCTCAGAATGAAAAGAGCCGTTGTGTCATAATAGATGTTAGAGGAGGGATTGGAACTTCAAATAAAGTTGGTGATATTTTCAGTTCAGCAGTCATGGGATTTCAAATACATCATGAGATATATAAATATTTAGGTAGCCACATGGTTTATTTCCTCATGGGGCATTCACTTTAGGAGATGAGTAGAGAAATTTAGATGTCACACAACTCTATTTCTGCTTCCATACTTTTTTGGATGAGTTTGCAATTTAGACTACTTTATCTGTATCCTCATCCAGAACCTTCATGTTGCACCAACTATGAAAGCAATTTGCTTTCCCATAGTTAATAAGAAATGCCATCTCATTTTGCTGCATATTCAAATCTCATTTCATTTCCAAGATCTATCTAAATTATGACATTAAAAAAAAGTAGCTACTATCAGAAAAATCAGGGCTGCCCGAAGCTATGAAAGAAAAGGCAGATTTTACTCTTTAGTATTACAAAAATTTTAAAAATACATGACTGCAGATTTTCTAATTAGTGAAAATGCCCTTACACGTTCTCCAACAGCACCATCCCGTCCCGGAGTGCCATCATTACCAGCTGGACCCTATAAAGAATCATATTTTAAAAATGAGTTAACTGAGTAATGCAAAAAAATAATAATAATAATAATAACCCACCAATTCCAATTGCCAGAAAAATTACAGCATGTTTTCCACTTCTCTTCTATAAACTATAAATTAGCACTTACGGAAATTTTAGTCAAAGAAAGTCTTCTGACATCTTTTCTATTACTTGGAATTGCTTGTAAAATTATTAACACATTCTTACTTTTTTGTGCCAACTTTAATACAGTTTTATTGAAGACATTGCATTTTCCACTTACAATACAGTGCTTATAAAGTATAATGTTATTACCTTCCCTGTGCACATATTCCATATTGAAGCATGAAGAATGCCCAGTTATTTACCATGGCAGCTAAACTTTAAAACTACCATGGAATTTGCTACAAATTTGGGTCCTTCAGTGTCTTGTGTGGAACAATACTTAGTCTATGCTCAGGTTGGCTTAATGATCTTCTTCAATAGTGGGGCTAGAGGGGGGAGTGCCAGATGGAGGGAGGAACTCTACCAGCAGGAACCACCCACCCCCTCCAGACACTCCTGGCATGCCTCCTGCACTTAATCTAAATTCTTGATTTCTATTTTTTATTTTAAAACAGGGCAAGGGGGATCCTCAAATCCTTTGAAATACATAGGCAACAATTACATTCTTGCCATTTTATGTTTTGTCTGTATTACCAGTGAATGGTTTTCCTTACTTTCATATCTTGAGTTTATCCAAACAATACCCTTAGAGTTTTAAAATAAAACTACTATGTTTAGACATTAAATAACTTGGTGAAATATATGTTCTTTATTATTTTTTTCAGAATTCTGTTTTTATCATTTGACCAAAAACTGCTCTGAAAGGCATTGACTTTTTCAAGACAATGTGACACTGTCCAGGAATGGACTCATTAAAGCACTGTACAGAGGGGATTCCAACCTATAACTTCTCAAATCACCTTTCAAAAATTGATTTCCTCTCAAATGACACTTAGGGATCAGGACATGCATCATGTTACTTTAGAATGATAATTAAATAAAATTCTCTTACTTCTCTGTTTTTGCAAGCTGCAATAGTTATATTAATCCTATCACCACAGAACTTGGCAATTTTGACGAATATGCCGTTATAGAATGAAATAACAAGGAAAAAGATTAATGGACATGTCCTTTCCCCTTCAAAATAATTTGGCAACAGCCTAAATCAACTAAAATACTTGGCTCTAGACTAGATGAAGGGTCAGTGCAAAGTACCAGTCTTATTACCTTCTGTTTTTGTTATCATTTAGTCTACTTTCCTGGGAAATAAAGGACATCAAATAACAACACTAAGAAACTTCCTTCACATCACATGTGCAATCAACTTCTAAATTTCTAAAATGATTTCTAAAACAAACAAACAAACACACAAAAAACTGTCCCCATGACACCCAGATAAGGAGAGGAGAGTTATTTTCATTGCAGCACTCACTTCTGGTCCAGGTTCCCCTACGGGGCCATTTGAGCCTGGCGGTCCCACAGGTCCAGGTGGACCTTTATCTCCGGGTGCACCAGTAGGTCCTACTTTTCCTGGTGTGCCCTGAAATCAAAGTATAAACATGTCAATGGCTTCTGAATAAATGTAAAAATGCCAGTTCACACAAAGGCTGTGTTTTTTTTCAAATGGCACTTCAGTCCCTCCTTCTCCACAATGATTGTCCATTATCCCACAACATCCACGTCATTGTAGTACCTCCTTAGAGGCATGCTCGCTTATTATCACAGTCATTGTGACATATCCCAGCGACTAAAAAGCATCCTTTGCCATCAGTTCAGGTGTGTGGTTTGCATTCAGATGTGTTATATAGTCAGTTCTGGCTGCTCTAAAGGAATCTGCATTGCTGGTAAGACATGCTCATCCACATTCACTTCCACTTTGTTTACTCACTTTATTTCTGTATCCTGGCACTTTGACCTCACTATGGGGAGATTTTACTTCTGGGCTTGGCTCACTTCTTTTTTTTTTTTTTTTTTTTTTTTTTTTTTTGAGGGAGAGAGAGAGGGAACGAGCTGCGGAGGGGCATAGGGAGAGGGAGAGAGAGAATCTTAAGCAGGCTCCACGCACAGCGTAGAGCCTGACTCCGGGCTTGATCTCACAACCTGAGATCATGATCTGAGCCATAATCAAAAGTCAGACAACTTTTTTTCTTTTTTTCTTTTTTCTTTTTAGAGAGAGAGCACATATGTGCATGAGTAGGGTGGCGGGCAGAGAGAGGGAGAGGGAGAGACAGAATCCCAAGCAGGCTCCATACTGTCAGCTCAGAGCCCAACACAGACTTGATCTCACCAACCATGAGATCATGACCTGAGCAGAAATCAAGAGTCAGAAGCTTAACCAACTAAGCCACCCAGGCGCCCCTCCTTGGCTTACTTCTGAAACAAAAAAATATCCCCTAACTCCTAGTTTGCTGGATTCAGACCTCTATCCACATTCCCCCAGTTCCAAGGTCCCAGCAGTACATCTCCCTGTCTACATTCCATATAAAAACATTATTTCTTTTCCACAAGCATGTAAACTTTCAGCAGTAAAATTTAGTTTCTTCAAAGCTAACAGTTAGGCAAACTTTTATCCACATCCCAGGGAATATGAAGTTCTTAGCACCCTCCAGGGAAGAGGAGATTACTTTCAGAGTCCAACTTTATAGCTCACCCCACTTTCACCTCCAATATTACTTTAGCTCAACTACTCTTCCCTTTGATGATTTATGAAAACTTACCCTCTGAACTGTGAAGTATGAATGTTTTTGTCAGGCATGTTTATTTAAAAAGCAGCTACCTACTCACCAGAGGAGATTATCCCCCTTCTTTAGCTCCGTGGATATTTTTAATCTTTGAAGAAAGCTTTAGAGTCATCAAAAATCCAGATCCTTATTTGTCTACTTCTCTAGTCCCAGGGTTAAGTAAATATATTTTTCAAAATTGTTGTGAGGTACTTAAGTAAAGAATTTGACATTCAAAATCAAAGGTTTTTAAGATAGTCAGAATTTGTGTCTAAAAAAGACTTTAAATCTACTAAGCACACACTCACACCGATAAATTCTCTCTTCACAAATTATATAATAAGATAAAATATTGACCAACACGACCACTCACCGCTGGGCCTGGCAGGCCAGGCATGCCTCGCTCTCCACGCTGCCCTGGCATTCCGACAATTCCTCTTTGCCCAGTAGTTCCGGCTGGACCAGGGGGACCATCCGGACCCTAATTGTGAGGATAAACTATAATTAGAAATTCTCTGGGACTTCGTAATAGATCACGGCTTTATAAATTTTTCAGTAGAAGAAAAAAATCCTCTGTTTCATAAAACCATATGATACATGAGTAGTCCTAATTTATACTTCACACAGAGTCTCTAACATTGTTTCAAGGTGAAAATGGCTCATTAGTTGCAAAGAAACATGAAGAGTGATGTGAATATTAATGGAATAAAAGATGCTATTCACGCAAATATTCTTCCTCTTTTTAAAAAGATAAAGAAAATTTAAAAAATAAAATAAATAATGACCTATCTAAACACATTAGTGTTGAGACATATAGATATTAAATAAAATAATGTACTCTTTAAAAGTTTATTTATTTTTGACAGAGAGAGAGAGACACAGAGAGACAGACAGAGAGAGTGCACAGCACGTGGGGGAGGGGCAGAGAGAGACAGAATCCCAGGCAGGCTCCACATTGCCAGCACAGAGACCTATGTGGGGCTTGAACTCACAAACCATAAGATCATGACCCGAGCAGAAATCAAGAGTTGGATGCTTAACCGACTGAGCCACCAAGGTACCCCAAAATAATGTACTTTTTAAAAATTTACTTTATCCAGCTCAGATACTTAACAAAGAATGTTTTCTTGTTTGGTTTTTGAACACCACATCCATTACTGTTATATTTTATACTTACACTTTTTTTCTAGAGCTGAGAATTGTAAATTAAAAACATATAGGGCATAAGGATTTATGAAAGGACTCAGGTTAATGTATAAACAGTTTCCTTGTGGCAGTGAATATTATGGATTTCTATTGTAAATATCTCTATTCGAGGTGGCCTCGAACAAAGATGCGAAACTTACAGGTTGCCCATCTTCTCCTGGATCCCCTTTGTCTCCTGGGCCACCAGGGGGACCTGCTGGTCCTCGATCTCCCACTCGCCCATGAGAGCCGGGGTCTCCACGAAGACCTGGGGGTCCCTCCTTCCCAGGTTCCCCTAAGGGCCCTGCAGGTCCTGGAGCTCCCTAGTATAAGACAGAAAGAAACCCGGGGGGAGGGGGGGCGACAGTGGAAGTCACATTAGAGGACTTGATGCTTGATGCAAAGGCCTCTCGGGTCCATTTTTCCTGTTAGATAATCAGTCATCCACTGGATTTAAATAAAATTAAACCAAACACAGCTGCAGATTCATTTCCCAGGATGAAATCTAAATTATTTGCAGACAATTACCTTTGAGTCAATACCAAAAGTGTGCTGAAATTGACTTTTCAAACTTCTTAAGGTTCTGCTCCATTAATAAATATATAACATTTAATTCTATCTGGCCTAATCTTATAATGAAAGAATATCATTTATTTAACTAAATTTCAGAGATGCCGCCTAACTTAAGGAAATGATTATTAGCACACCATACTGTTAGTATTTAGTACCCAAATGGAATAATGGTAAAACATTGGGGCTAAAAAGGACTTTTAAATGAGCTTTTCATTTAAAGATGATTAAAGATGAATTTACTTTGACAAGATACCAGTATGTATGAATTCTTAGGATAAGGGTTGTTTACATGGGTTAATCATTAAGAGATTAAATAAAAGAATGAAAAATAACTCAATATATATATACATTTCTATATAATGTGTACATATATGTGTGATTGTGTGTATTATCGTGTGTGTGTGTGTGTGTGTGATGGCTTCACTACTAATGATCTGAATTACTGAAGTGACTTACAGGAGGGCCTGGAGGTCCAACTCTGCCGGCAGAACCAGGAAACCCTGTAGCACCCTAGAAATATAATATCATGTAAGAAATTTTAAAATAACTATTAATTACATATTCTTTCTGGGATCTAGTTTTTCACAGGGATACTTAGGCCTTTAGATTCCCTTTCTTGTTGTGAACAATAGATTTATTCTTGTATCTTATACAAGAATGGATCAGAATTAATCGGTTGGAAAGATGCTATTTTTCTCTTTCCACCTTCCATTTATCTTGAACGTATACAAATGTGCGCAAGACTAGAACTAGAATCACATTAATATTTTGCATAACAGAGTTCTGTAAAGCAATTCCCTGTTATTCATTACCTACATCTTCAATAGGTAATATATTATTTATGTTACTTATGAGGTGGCTGGGTCTCCAAGATCATAAAACTAACTGTAACCCAGATCTCCATTTAAGTGCCTTTTCCATTACAGTTTGTTATCCAAGTAAAAATTTGTTGTTACAGCTTCAGATGAACTTTTATATGGTCACAAAGTGCCACGTATCTGTGACTAGCTGCGTGTAATTCCCAGAGCTTCAAAGCAACTTACAGGTGGACCCTGAGTTCCTCGACCACCTTTTAGTCCAGGAACACCATTAGGACCCTATATAGAAAGACAGAAACAAAAGATCATTATAGTAAAGCAAAATGGGCTAAACACAAAGTCTAAACATTGGGTACTTGACTCAAGTTTTTGGTTTTTTATTTTTCTTTTAACTTACATGAGGGCCTGGGGATCCTGCTAGACCTTGTGGTCCAGGTGAGCCGGCATCTCCTTTCTGCCCTGGCTCTCCAGGTTCACCTTTTACTCCAGGCTGCCCATCAGGACCCTATATCAGTTGTATAAATAAGCAACTGATTATAATACTTGTAGACAAGTTATTTCACAGTAATTATTACTAACATATCACTTAACCTTATATTGTAAAATGGTGCTTTGTGATCGGTATTAAAGCACAGAAGGAAAAATGTCCTCGTGGGATCTTTGAAGACAGTCTGAAAAAATAAGTTATCCCACCACATTTTTATTAAAACAAATAAGTATAGAATTTTAAATAGTGCATTTTAGTGCCAGTCATGAAAAAAAAATGTATTGAAAATGAGAATATTGCCCAGAAACCTGTAAACTTCCCAGAATCTTTAATATATCTTCAGTACATATCACAATGATGATCAATTAAATCTATTGCTATAGCAAGAGGAGTGCCCACTGTAAATTAGAGATATTTGGAAATTATACCTGAGGTCCAGCAAAACCAACAGCCCCAGTTGGGCCATTTTCACCACGAGAACCCTAGGATAAGAGAAGTGTTATTGTCGTTTTCACACGTTATTCTAAATGGGAACAGTATTTAAAAATATAATTATATAAACTTGTAGGATCTTGAAATGTATATGTAGATGAATTAGACTTCTTTCTTAAGGAAGGCTTTTTTTTTTAAATTTTTTTTCAACGTTTTTATTTATTTTTGGGACAGAGAGAGACAGAGCATGAACGGGGGAGGGGCAGAGAGAGAGGGAGACACAGAATTGGAAACAGGCTCCAGGCTCTGAGCCATCAGCCCAGAGCCTGACACGGGGCTCGAACTCACGGACCGCGAGATCGTGACCTGGGTGAAGTCGGACGCTTAACCGACTGCGCCACCCAGGCGCCCCTTAAGGAAGACTTTTAAGGGTGAGATAGAGATAAGGGCCATATAGCAAAATTTCCAATGTCTGAAGTCTCAAAAAAGCTTAATTATTTGGTAAATGAACTGCTTAGTTGGATTTAATAGATTGCATAAAAATTACAGACTGTTAAGTTTTTGAGTCTCCCGTAAACACTGAAAACTAGGAAGTTCTAAGTAGCCTGACCCAACAAGCAAGGTTTTATATAAACATCAATACAAAATGATGAATTGTTTTTCTGCTTAACCCCATTCTAAAGAACATCAAAATACTGTCACTTACAGGATTGCCACGGGAGCCGGGAGGCCCAACTAAACCTCGAGGGCCAGGTTCACCCTAGAAAGCAGATGTCAGATGGTTATGGTCCAAAGCAGGAACAAAACATAATACACCTGGGGGAAGCTGAGCCCTGTGTGTAGGGCAGACATTGGGGGAGAACTCTGAGATGATCTGGCCCAACTACTACATATTAGGAAAGAGAAAACATTATGAGAAAGAGCTATCATCCAAACTCCATGATTCTGAGTCCACAAAATACCAATTTATGATACTACCTTTTCTCCAGTGGGACCTGCAGGACCTGGAGGGCCCAAGGGACCTGGAAGACCCTGTCAATAAATAGAACATAGGCATGTTGAGGAAAAGAATGCACGGAATTTCCCACGATTATACAAACATTCAAAGAAGGTATTATTTTGTGATTGCTTTAGTTGCCTTTGCAAAACATTGTCTATAACAAGTGATATAATCTGTATATTGTTAAGATTTTTCTAGTTACTCTAAAACAACTTCTGGAATTTTCTCCACAAAGTGTCTTAATCTCTTTCATCCATACATAATACAATACTGTGTTCAAACATTAGCTCTAAATTAATGTTATTTTTCCACAATATTTCTACGTTTCTTAGCCTATTTAATATTGAAATTTGCGAATAGATTGAAAAAAAACTTTTCTTCTTTTGTATAGGATACTATATTCTTAAACTATACAAACAAAATATCACTCTATTTTATTTTTTTTTTAAGTGAAATTCTGATAAAGCATTGAGTTTTCTACACTCTCCTAAGATCACAAGGAGTGTAACTACCCAGTCAAACTGAGGCTGAGTCCTTTAGGCTCAGAGCTTAGGGCGCTATCACATGGGGGTTCAAACCACGTCTTCTTGGTATGTGGTCACAATCTTTAAACTGCTTGACTGTATTGGAGGCTTTTCTAAAATGGGTTTTCTATGTGATATTTGTGCATTGCCTCTACATATGCAGCCTAAATATTCTTTTGTCTTTTAATTTTTGTATGTATTATGGAAGAAATTTAAAAAACAAAAAAATTACTTCATGTTTTTATGCTCTTATAAGGACAGAAGAAAACTGTGATCACATGTTCTCTAGATCTATAATGGAACAATAATCTTTCAATAATCTCCCTAATCTATTTCCTTAAAGAATTGGATTAAATATGAGGATCACTTCATTAAATTCACGTTTTTTTTTTCATGCAGAGAAAGCATGGTATTCATTTCTCCCCTTTACTATGAGATTACAATAAATGGTCTGCTCTGCTTCCTCCCTAAAGCAATGTATTGTCATTACTAAAAATAAACCAGTCATTGCTTAAGTCCTGTTCCTATCACACTGCATTTTCAAAGTTAGTTCATAGAAACAATAGATATGTATTTCAGAATTCACCTTAAAATACAGTCAATGCAACATGCCTTCAAACAGTACTGCACTACTTTACTGTGCACTATAGACCATCTATGACATAAAATACAAACAATATGCCAGATTTACCTAGACCATTTTTGAAATATGAAGTTAAACATTAGAGTTAACTAAAAGGGAAGAAATATCTCGTGTTCATAATTCTCTAAATTAAGCGTGTCACGCTGAAGTAGATATTTAGAAAAAGAAAAAAGGGTTAATTACCGCTAAGACTAAAACTTGTCTGTATTTTACTTTTTTTTATTAAAAGCTAATGTAAACAATGTATTAACAGTGGCTCAATGTGCAGCATCAATATGTTAATAATGGTTCGATGTGAGCTCTTTCTGTGTGACACAACTGCTCTTGCCAGGGCACAGCGTGACAACTAATAGCAAACCATGCCATCAAATATCAGGAATTACTCCAGGGACTGTTGAATGTCTGAGCTCTATCTTACATGAGAGAATCATGTCATTAATGTCTAAAAAATCATATTCAGTCTGTCCTGAGAATTGCAAATGCATTCTATTTTTGAGGACCTAAAGCTTATTAAAGGTCAGTTTCTCACATGACATTAAACAATGCCTTGGTATCAACCATCTTTCTTTACATTTCACTTCTTCATCCTCTTTATTGATGAAAGAATTAATTCATTGGGCAGTAATTTCCTAATCCTTAAATATACAGTATATCGGGAAATATTTATCTCAACTTGGCTGCTCTGCAAAACTCTAAGTGCCTGCCCTGGAATGAGGTCTAGAACAGCTCATTAGATCAACACTTTAACAAAAATAAACACTGCATGAGAAATAAAAAGATGATAGAAAAAGATAAAGAGGGCCCCCCTGCTTAAAGCACTGGTCTCAGATGCACAGGAAAATGTGTTTTATTTCATTCCCTCAACAACGACTGCTTTTTGGCTTGCTCTAATTCAAAGTAAGCAAAATGAGTATCCATGATTTTTCAACATCAAATCTCAAAATTCATCATTTTCCAAATCCTGACTATTATAGAAACACAATGAACTTTATTTTGGAGAGTTCAGGCAAATTCACATAATAACGATAATATTGATTCCTTGCTTAGCTGGGAAAGGAGAGATTTCACTTACTCTTGCTCCGTCATTTCCAGCTGTGCCTTCAGCACCCTTCTCTCCTATGCCACCCTGGGAAAACACACAAAACACCATTATTCATTTAATTGTCTTTTTTCTCTCATTTGCATGGATGCTTCATGAGGGCAGGGGCTTACCCCTCCTATTCATAGATAAATCCCCTTGAACCTAGAAAAGTGCCTGGCATTCTGCGTTCTGCATTCTGAAAGAAAGAAAGAAAGAAAGAAAGAAAGAAAGAAAGAAAGAAAGAA